CTTTCGGCACATCCAGCCCCTTGCCCGGCCGCTGCCTGCGAGCTTCCTGCTCCATTTTCCACCCTGATGACCACGCGGGTGGGAGCAGTGGGTGGCCTTTGCCTGCCAGCTCTTTGTCCTTCCTCCAGGCTCCTTGCCTGTTGCTCTAAACAGTTGCTAGGAGGAAGCATGGCCGGATGTGAGCATGGCTGTCGGGGCTGGAAGTGCTGCTCTCAGCCAGGTGTGGCCAGCCAAATGCCAATAACTTCCTTGCTTTAAGTGCTGCTGAGTCACAAGCCTGGTGGGGATCTGACAGTGGCATGCATGTTCCCTCCCAGGTACACCCTGCTGTGTGGGAACCCTCCCTTTGAGACCTCTGACCTCAAGGAGACCTACAGGTGTATCAAGCAAGTGGAATACACCCTCCCTGTCTTCCTCTCCCTGCCTGCCAAGCACCTCATCACTGGCATCCTCAGACGTAACCCCCAGGACCGCCTCACCCTTGATGAGATTTTGGACCACGAGTTCTTCAAGGTGGGTGGGGGGGGGGCCTGGGTCAAGGGACCCTTCTCCAGGTAGGATGAGGTTTTTTGGGCTGTGCAGGGTGCTGTCCTTGTCCTGTATGAAGTGTCAGTCCTTCAAAGGAAGCAGCCGCTGTCCTGCCCAAATGCCAGCCAGAGGAACTGAGGGATCTGGTGTGCTTCTGCTGCCTTGTTGCTATAGCAAGGGGTTGTTTCCTGTGCTGATGCCAGTCATGGTTCTGAGGCTTGACAGAAACACAAGCTGGCTGTCAGGAGGGATGTGAATGACTCTGGTCAGCCCAGGGCAGCTGCTCTGCCTGGAGCATGTGGCCTATGGAAACCAAACCTCTCCCCTGACCTCTCTGCAGGGCTACACGCCTGAGAAACTCCCTCCCAGCAGCTGCGTGATGGCTCCAGAGCTGAGTCCCCCAAATCCTGCAAAGACTCTGTTTGCTAAAGTCACCAAGACACTCTTTGGGAAGAAGAAACCTAAGGGTAAGTCTGTGCATTGCCAAGGAGCCTCTGGGTGACTCTTCCTTCAGGAAGAAGTAGATCCTGTTTTCTGGAGAGACCTCCTGATGGATCTCTCTGGACCCCGTGCCTGGGGACAGCACAAGCTGGGTGTGCCCCTGCCCTTCTTGTGCTGGTGGCCTGGCATGGGTGTGTGCCTGGAGAGCGGATACTGTGCCACAGCCCATGGGGCACTTCCTCCTGGAAGCCCTGTGTTGCATGAGAACTGGGAAGTGAAAGTGGGAGACAGCTGTCTGACACCCTCCTTGCCTCCATGGGCATGGGAATAGATAAGGGAGAGCTGAGCTACTGGGAGGGGTGGCCTGGATGTCCCCAGCCTATATGCTCAGCAGTGTACTCATCTCTTGCTCTCTCCTCAGCCAAGAAGGGCTCTTCAGAGGACAGGGATGACCTCTCCAAGCTGGTTACTGGGCTGATGAAGACCTCAATCTGTCGGCAGATGAGCTATAAAACTGTGGAAGGGAATGAGGTGAGAACATCTCTGAGGCTGTGCACGCCCTTCTTTGGCGGAGCAGGCAGACCGTGCTGAAGCCAGGTCTCTCTGCAGGCCACCCCTGTGTCGTGCCGCAGTGCCAGCTCCAGCCCCGTGGAGACAGTGGTGGAGGAGACATCTCGCAAGTCTGCGTCCCCCTCCATCCGGGGAACGATGGCCAGCAGCTGTGAGGGTGAGCAATACCTGTCCCAGCCACCCCAGCCTGCCCCAAGCTTCCTGTCATGCCTGGGCTGATAGCGGGGCTGGCTGACTCAGCCTGTCATCTTCTCCCCGAAGCCTTTGAAGATTGCGTCACCACCTCTGCTGTCATCGAGTCAGCTGTCCGGCTCCTGAGGACCTGCCTCTCCTCCATGCCTCCAGGTAAACTGGTTGGACTGCTCTGGGATGGGATAGGGGGCTGTGCATCCCCTTCCCCCTGGGATGAAGACATGGCTGCTACTTGGGGTACAAATAGCACCCTTAATGGTGCCAGAGCCTGCTGTAGGGATCTGTTCCCCCTGGGGAGGTGACAGACAGGGGCTGGCTGGCTGCACTGCTCACCTCCTCTCTTCTCCAACAGCGGAGAAAAACCCAGCTTCCCTGGCCCGCCATGAGCACTTTGTCTGGGTGAGCAAGTGGGTGGATTATTCCAACAAGTATGGCTTTGGCTACCAGCTCTCCAACCGCAGCATTGGGGTCCTCTTCAACAATGGCACGCACATGACGCTTTCCCCCAACCACAGGTGAGCGGTGGGAATGGGGTTCATCTGTCTCTAGGGGAGCCCCTTGGGTGGGAGGGGGAGTCTATACCAGGGTGGACATTGCCAAAACTTGTGCTCTGCTCCCTCCAGGACTGTACATTACAACCCGACCAACAGCAAACACCTGGTGTTCTCTGTGTCTGCCATCCCCGAGCAGCTGCAGGGACAGATGAGTGTCTTGCGCTACTTTGCGTCCTACATGGAGCAGCATCTCATGAAGGTGAGTGCTGGGGCCCAGGGCTGGACTTTGGGTCATGGCTTGACCACACCACTTGAGCTGGTTGGACTCCCTGCTTGCAGCTGTGGTCAGGTGGATACACAGGGTTATGCTCTGGGAGTGGGGACTCCACTGAGGGGGTACCCAGCTTTGGTGTTGTGTGTGCTGCTGGAAGCGCTCCCATGTGTGTGACCAGTGGCTTATGCAGACCCTTCTCTCAAAGGGAGGTGACCTGCCCAGCATAGATGACCTTGGGCAGCCCGCCCTGCTCCTCCTGCAGTGGGTGAAGACTGACCAAGCCTTGCTCATGCTCTTCAGCAGTGGCACCCTCCAGGTATGTGTGGGGCACAGTGGAAATGCGCAGACCCTTGTGAAGAGGAGACCAGATGGGGGTTTTCTGGTCTGTGTTGGATCTTGTCTGCCACAGGCCAAGTGGGAAATCCAGCTGTGAAAACAGCTGTGGGTGCAGGATGCTGCTCCAGTGCCTGGAGCTGCTGGTTGCAGCTTCCCCAGCCTGTGGAGAGACATAGCACTTCAGCTGGATGCTTCTGTCTGCCCTGTGCTAGGGCTGGCTCATTCCTGCCATGGGGCATGGACAGGGATGCTCCCAGGCAGGTTGGGGAGGAGGAACGGGTTGAGGCAGGAAATGTGGCTCCATCCTGGCTCCCAATGTGCTGTGGGAAGCACGGCTTAAACCAAGCCCAACCTCTCTCCTAGGTGAATTTCTACAACGACCACACCAAGGTGATCATTAGCAAGCCTGACCACTCCTGCCTTGTCACCTACATCAACCGGGAGCGCAACTCTTACACATACAAGCTGTGCAGCATCCAGGAGCTGGGCTGCTCTCCTGAGCTCCACCACCGCCTCAGATACATCCTCAAGCTTCTCCAAGAATGGGCTGAGGCCTAGCCTGGAACCTTGGGGGACCCTGTCTGGACTTGGAGGTCTCCCCCTGCCCTCCCATGGGATGGGAGGGATGATGTGGTGCTGGCTATCCCCCTGGGCATGTGTATCCTGGTGCTCAGCTGGACTCTGGACTAAGACATGTGGATGTGGTTACAGCAGCAGGTCTGGATATCCTTGCTGCTCCCTGGCTCTGGGCAATTGCTGTCTTCCCACTGGCAGCTCCTGCTCTGATGGTGCTGATCTTGATGGAATGGACTGGGGTGTTCCAGGAGGTGGTGGTGGGTGAGTGTCCTGCAGCCGGGTTTGGGGCTGGCTGAGCCTTGTTTGGGGCTGGCAGCTACTTGTGGTGGAGGCTCAGGCTCCCCTGCCCCAGCTGATTCATCATTTGCACAGACCCTCTGCATGGCCTGGAGATGGCTGCCACAGCCTTGATCTCAAATTTTGGGTGCTGTGGGATAGGAAAACCCCTTCCCAGGAGTGGGCAAGGGTGAAGGGTGCTGCCTGCCCTGCCAGGGGCTCTGTGGGCTGGTGTGTGCCACTCCACAACTGTTACACTAAGGAGGGAGCTGTGCTGGGCCTAACTGTGCCCAGTCTCTTCCCAAATTGTGAATTGTCTGGTACAACCTGAGGTTTGATAAAGGGTGGGGGATGGGATCTGAGGACTTGCCTGGAGAAGCCCTCATTTTGTTGGGACCCAGGGTTGTTTCTTATTTCAAGGCAGTTCTGCCGTGTGGGACTATTTATGTATCTTATTTATATGGATTTATTTATTTTCCTGTTGGTCTGTTCATGTGCAGTTCCCCTCTCCCAGACTTGCCTCAATAAAAACTTATTTGTGTAAGGGCAAACTATGTCCTCCGTATTTGAAGCTGGAGTCACGAAAGGGCTTCAGCATCATTCTTGCTCCAGAGCTGCTTCTGCCTCTTGGGGATGACCCTTCTTGGCACTGACTGCTGCTGGGGGATAAGGTCAAGGAGGCAGGATGGCTATGAGGAGCCCATGTAGTACCTCCACTGCTTTCATGGGACTGGCACAATGGGCAGAGTTAGCTCTTGCTTATCCTGGTGGAGCCTTGGAGCTGCTTCTCCTTGCTGCTGCCAAATGCATTCCCAGTCCTTTCTGCACTTGGACCCAACCCAGCTGCTCTCCTGACTGCTGAGCTGCAGAAGGCAGGAGCTATGACCCAGGTGGTGGAGGGGTTGCCTGGGCCCTTGCACTGACATCTTGTGTGATGGGATATAAGCTGGGCATGAAGCCAGGAAAGAGCTCTGTGAGCTTGCTTTGAAGGTGATCTGTGTAATCAATCTGCCTGGGAGCAGCTTGTGCTGTGGGAAGCAGCCTGGGCTGCTCCAACAGCCTTGGGCAGTTGCCTCTTCCAGGGAAATCCAGCCTTTTGTTGTGTTTGCTGCCGCTTGGGTCTTTTTGCAAACCATAGTACTGGGAACTGCAGCGTGGGTGTGAGCTGAGGCTGGAGTGAGCATCCGTATCTTGCTCCCTGCACACACCCTGGCCCAAGACTCCAGGTATGACACACAGCTGGACAAAACCTCTTTATTTCAGCTGCTCTCTCCCTACAGCTCTACAGAACTGGGTGGACAGAGAGGCACGTGCTACTCGAAGTAGACCCCGTACACTGTGGCCACAGCAAAGAGGGGAAGCATTGGAGAAGGTGGCAGAGGCAAAGCTGTCAGTCTGAGGGTCCCATAGTCCCCGGCTGGCCACCAAGAGGCTCTGCTGGCCCTGCTGGCCCAGCACCACATGGCAGACCAGCTTGTAGCGGGGTGGCACCACCTCCTTGGCCTGGTTGTGCAGCAGCTCAGTCAGGCTCTGGGCTAGTGGGGCACTGCCCTCGGCACTGTATGCAGTGGTCCCCAAGGCACAGGCCAGGGTCCCCTCCAGCACCCGCTGCACCCGCTCCCCATCAAACTTGCAGCCTTTGTCTGGCCCCATCCTGTAAGTGTTTTCAAGGCGGGTCTTGAGGATGGGTTGGAAAATTGGGAGCCCAGAGAAGCTAACGCGTCTGTGGAGCAGCCAGGGGCCAATGGAGGGGCGCCTGCTCCCCGGGAGCATCCCGAAGGAGCTGCGGCGGCTGAGGATGGAGTTGCGGCGGGAGAGCAGGGGGGGTGGCTTGCTGTCCTCCGTGCCCCGGGCTGGGGCTGGGGGCTGAGAGCCACGGCGGCCAGTGCGGAGTGAAGGGGCTTCAGTGCTGGCTGCAGCCAGCACCTGGGCTAGCAGGGCTACCTCTGGGATGGGCTGCTCAGCCATAGGGTTGGCCTGCAAAGGAGATGTACCTGAGTGTTAGGTGAGGCAGGTGTCCTGTAGCCTCTCCATTTCCCTGCCTCTTTGCCTCGCTTCTCCCTACCCTCTGCAAATCCCATGCCTTCTGGCATGTGAGTCTCTGTGAGACAAGATGCAGAGGGGCTGGGAGATCCATGGTAGCTGTCTTCCCTTCTCCAGTGCCTCCATGCCCATCAGACTCGGCCAGCTGGGGCTGATCCAGCGCAGTAATGTATGTTCCACACAGCCCTCTGCTCTCCCATCCCCAGCCCTTCCCCCGGCACAGGTGAGTGACTCTTTGCCCAGTGTTCAGTCTGCATCCCACACTTACCCTAAGCTCCACTCCCGTCCTTCCAGAGTAAACCCAGAGGACTTGTGTCTGGTGGATGTCACTGCCCAGGACAATCTTTATCTTGTAAGTTGCTGTGAGCAGGGCCAAAACTGTTGTGCTCCTGGAAGGTGAAGTGTTGCTACTTGACACTGTATGTCTCCAAGGCTGTTCTGGGGCATGGCTCCTTTAACTCCTTGTTTCCTGGTCCCTGGGCAGCTCTGTTCCCCTTCACTCCTGCCCTCTGCCTTTTCAGCTGTGTCAGCACAGGGATGTGGTTACTCCAGACATGTGCCCTCCAAACTCAGCTCCCTGCCAGCCCTGAAAAATGCAGGCTGGTATTGGATGTGCAAGAGAAGAGCAGGGGGTGGAGAGCAGCAGCTGTGATCACTGCTTTGTGCCCTGACTATGGGCTGCACTGGGGCTGGGCCCTGCAACAGCTTGACTTTGCTCAGACATTTGCATCCTTAGGCTACTTATGCCCCACTGCACCAAGGGAGAGTGTGTGTGGGTAGGCACCCATTGAATCATATAATCACATAGTGGGTTGTGTTGGAAAGAACCTTAGAGATCATCTAGTTCCAAATCACTGGCAATGGGCAGGGATGCCACCCCTAGACCAGATTTCTCAGAGCCCTATCCAACCCAGCCTTGAACACTTCCAGTGACTGGATGGAGCACAGCCCTGTCACATGCCAGGGACACTGCTGCTGTAATGCCTGGGGGCTGAGCAGGTCCCCGGGGGCTCCTGACCCCGGCTGGAGTTCCTCTCTGCCAGTGGAGCCCAGCCCAGCTGGTACGACACGGTTGTTCCATCAATGTGCCTTTGTCTGGCCTGGCTGCCGAGCTATTTGAGGAAAGCGGAGATGGCTTTTGTGTTTCTATCTCCCGTCGGAGGTATTTATAGCCTGCCTCTGACTAGTGCTGCCAAGCACACTGCCAGCTGGCCCCCATTCCCTTGGGGTGCTGCCTCAGCTCCGAGCCCCATTCCTGCCTCTCTCTTGCACCAGCCACAGACAAGGGTGGATCCTTCCATGGGCAATCCCTGCCTTAGGCTGCTTGGGGCCAGCCAAGGCTTGGAGAACGGCACAGCACTCGGTTTGGGCTTAGGTGAGTGGTTGCTCTGGTGGGTTGATCTAGTGGGTGGCAACCCCTGCCAGTGGGTGGCAGAGGGGTTGGAAATAAATGGTCCCTTCCCACCCAAGCCTTTCTATGAGGCTGGTGATGCTTTTTTCTGCCTGCAAGCACCTGTACCCTAAGCAGACATGAGAGCTGCAGGGCTCTGGCCTGGGGCATTGCCGAGAGAAGGCTTCCCCCATTTCAGGGGACAAATCTCCCTGCCGGGCTCCATCTGCTCCAGTGCTGCTGCTGGGGACTCAGCCATGCTTTCCCTGGGGGCTGTGATGTGCAGGTGGAGGTGAGGGTGATCTCCGTGCATGCGCTGCCTTTTCCAAAATCCCAGCTGCCAGTCTCTCTTCACCCTATGTCTTTGCTCTGCAGCAAAGCCACCAGCTTGGGCCGCAGTGTCCCCGTGCCAGGCGTGCCAGAGCCAAGCCAGGAAACACGGCAAGGAATTCCACTCGCAGCAAGACGCAGAACAGCCCTGCTTCCCCATCCGGCGAGTGCCGGACGGAGCGGCCTTGGCAGCAAGTTGTGCTTCACGCCTCATTGTCCCATCGCTCCCTCCCACTGCTCCCCCGGCAGCCCGGCCTCCAGCCCCAGCGCGGCCTGCCAGGTTTCCCTAGCAATGGGCCGTGCCGTACGACGCAGCGTGCTGGCTTCCTCCCCGCGGCCTCCCCGGGCTGGCCGGCCTCCCGACAGCCTCCGGATTCCCCGCCGCCATCCTCCGGCCTCCTCCCGCCGCCGCGCTCGCTGAGGCCGCCCATGGCCGGACCCTGCTCGGCGCGGCTGCAGGGCGACGTGGCCGCCTTCAGCGCTGCCCTGCGCACCCTGGTGAACAACCCCCAGTTCAGGTGAGGGCCCGGGCCGTGCCGCCTCCCCCCAGCCACGCCGAAGCCCCCGGCGGCTGCTCCGTGCTGTTTTCCCGCAGCCCCGAGCCCTCCGGCTGGGGCCATTGGGGCCCGCAGGCAGTTCGGGGAGCCCCGGGAGCTGGTGGGGCCGATGCGGCTTGTGCGGCGCTCCCCACACACCCGCATGCCAGCAGGAGTCCAGGGCTGCCCAGGTGTAGCCCACCCTGCACAGCCCTCAGGAGGAGGGAAAGTTCCAGGGTGTGCCCAGACCCCCTGTGTCCCTAGGCATGGTGCCAACAGGGCAAGGCCGTTTCTCAGGATAAATGCTGTGCTGGGGATCTTGCCCTTGTCAGGAATGGGGGTACATTGAGCTCCTCAGGAGCAGCTTCCTCCCTGCTCAGTTCTTCTCCTACCTAGCTTTATTGGTGTTTTATCCCCGGAGAGTATGCGACAGCCTGGCATCCCTCCTCACAGGGTTTGGCATTCTCTGCCAGAGCAGAGGGCAGAGATGGAGATGCTGCCTTGGCTCCCTCACCCATTTGGTATGTCCTGCCTGGCTGTGGTCCTCTTCATCTACTTCTTGCTGAGGCCTGGCTAAAGAACACCAGAGCTATCTAAGGAAATCCCCATTCCTGCTGAAATTTTTGGCCACCCAGAAGAGAAATCCCAGTAAAAACTCCCCAGCCACAGTGCCAGGCAGTAGAGGAGTGGCTGACCCTGCCTGGTCATTCTCAGCCTACATCCTGCTGCTCACATCTTTCAATGCATACTCCTTATCCAGCATCCTGCAGTCTGCATCCTGCAACCTGAAATCTGTGCTCTGCATCCATCTACTTCATCCCACATCCTGCATCCTTTCTCCTGTAGCCTGTGCCTCACAGCATGCACTCTGTAGCCTTTGTTCTGCATCCCACATCCTGCAGCCTTCATTTTGCACCCATCCTGCAGCCTGTGTCCTGCATCCCATACCTTGCATGCCATCATCATAGCTGGCATTCCACATCTCACAGCCTGCATCCTGCTTGCCCCTCTTGGCCTGTGGACCTCAATCACAGAACAGTTTATCATGATCCCCCTTGCGGGAGCAGTCATGGAGGACGTGTTGGGCTCTGCTCACCGCACCCATCCTGCCCCAGCTGTGTCTCCTGATTGATAGACACTTGGGATGACCCAGGTGTCTGTTGTGGCGGGCACATCCACCTCCCTGTGGGACACTCTGAGGGTCGGGCCATGGATTTGTACATGTCATCATGGCAGTCAGAGTTTGGGCGGCATGTCTTCTGCTCATTGGTCTGCTGGGATGGAGAAAGGAGCAGGGGGATAGATGGGCCATAGCCACAGGTGTGCTCAGGCTGGTGACTCCGTGTCCTTTGCCTGCTTCCTTTCCCCTGATCTTGCCCCACTTTCCTTGGGCCATGGAGCTGGGGAAACATTTTGGGGAGGGGAGGGTTATAGGGGATCAGGGCAACAGGATGGTCCCATGTGCTCTAGACCATGTGCTCTACTGTATGCCACAAGCTGTCCTTTTGGGCCTGTGCCAGCCCTTCCGGCAGCTATGTCAGAGACTTCACATCCTTGAGATGATGAGTCAGTTCCCATGAGTCAAGGAGACTCATCCTGGTGACAGCAACGCTTTCCTTGGCTCTGCTATGCCAAAACAGAAAGTCACTTTCTCCAGCTGTCCTTGGCCTTTCTCTGCCCTGCTCGGTGCCAGCACCCTGGGCTCTCTGTGCCAGCAGCCAGGGCTCTCCATGCTTCCCAGAGGACTTGTCATGCTCACCTCGCCTGCAGCATTCAGGTGGCTGGAAAGAGCCACCAACGAGGTCCCCTCTGTTCCCCTGTTGGGACAGACCCCTGGGTTAAAAGTGAAGGGTACTGCCCTTGTGCTGGGCACTCAGCAGGGCCCTTCTGTGTGCCCTGTCCCAGCCCAGGGAAGGCTGTGTCCTTGCTTCCAGGCACCGTGTCCCTCATGGTCCCCTCTCCCCCGCAGCGATGTGATGTTCGTGGTGGGCCAGGAGCAGCAGAAGGTGTTTGCTCACCGCTGTGTGCTGGCGTGCCGCTGTCAGGTGTTCCGTGGCATGCTCAGCCAGGCACCAGTGGGCAGCCAGGACACCTCCAGCAGCGTCCCACCCCAGGGCCCCTTCATCCTGGGCAACGTGCAGCCTGAGGTCTTCCTGGCTGTCATTGAGTTCCTCTACACCAACAGCGTCACCCTCAACAGCCACATAGTGAGTGGGGATGGGGCTGGTGGGGACCATGGAATGGGAGGGACAAGAAGGGGATGCAGGGGAAGGGGGTGCTTTGCAACTCTTGGTGTGCCAAAATTGGAGGAGATGGTCTATGTGATTCTTTCTGGCTGGCTAACAGGGTAATGAATGTGTGGGGTCTCAACCCAGCACAGTGGGGTGTCCAGAGCACCTTGTCCCAGTCTTGGGACCTCTGGCTGTGTGTACCCTGGATGATGAGAATGGCGACACCATCGCAGGAGATTTTTCTCCATGCAGCAGCCTTATCTCCCATGCCCCAGTCAGGAGCTCCCACGGAAGCTGGAGCACACCTACCCTTTACCCTGGGCTGCTGTGCCCATCCATGGCCCCACACGCTGATGATCACAAGGTCCGTCTTGCCTGCAGGCACTGGAGGTGCTGACCTCATCGGTGGAGTATGGCTTGCAGGACCTGTGCAAGGTACAGTGCTATGTGGGCTGTGGGCAGTGGTCCTGAGTGTTCCCAGGTTGGGCAGCACCCCCAGATGGTCCCTGCATGGCTGATGGCTGGGGGTGCCTCTGAAGAAAGCACTGTGGTGAATCACACAGGTTTGGCCCTGTTTCTCAATCCTGGAAGGTCTCTCCAGTGGGATCCCCCTTGAGGGGGTGCAGCAGCGGCGGGGAATCCCACAGGGGAATCCCGAGAAGTCATGGGGAAGGATGTGGAGTTTCACATCTGCTGCACAGCAAAGGTCAGGAGGAAAGCCCCTGTGCCTTTGCCCACACGTGCTGTCTGGTCATCTGACAGGATGATGCAGTTAAAGAGAGCCCTGATCCTTGGGAGCAGTCAGCACCTCAGCTGTGGTGCTGCCAGGGTGATGCTGC